AAAAAAAAAATGACAGGGTACGATTTTTTATAAGGTGGTGTACGGTGTTTGCAGATTCAGAAAATGAACCACTGACAACATCACCATGCTTTTTGTTTTGTTTTTGTATTTTTCCATTTTTATGTTTTATCATTTTTATACCGTCTTTGAAACATTTTGCAAGTATTAAATATATACATGTATATGTTAACGTTTAAAAAGATTAAAGTGTTTAACGTGCAGCTGGTTGTTTAAAAAATAAAAACATTTCAAGAACTTCAGGCATTTATGGCGTTTATTTGTATTCATTACGATGTCCTTTGTTTTATTATTATAAGTCAATTTCATCCACAAAATAAATGAAAATAATATAGGATTAGAACTATGAGTGATACTGCATATTGCCAAAATTATGAATAATTTTAATCCCCTCATACTTAAATTTCTGGCTCTGGAAAAAGCTTGTCAAAGAATATCAGGCACAAGGAAAACCTTTCCACTTTTACTAATCATTTTCAACCCAACAAAAAAGTAAAATCAGACAATAGCAATATTACGGAAACTTCCTGTTCCGAATAGCCTGCAGTTTTTTTTTTATATAGTCGGACACCTTTACTCTGCAGAAGTACAGGATGAAGATAAAAAGGGATGCGAAAAGAAAAGGCAAAGAGTGTTTGCGGGTTGCGAGTATGGCAGAACAAAAGAAAAGGTAAAGAGAAGCAAGCAAAGAAAGGATGAGGCGCTACAGAGCAAAGAAAACAAAAAAACAAAGCTGGACAGAAAACATCACCTATTTCCAGTAGAAATGGTCCACAACACAAGCCATCAGAGACAAGATCTGTTGTACACAAGCTGCAACAGACGATAGAGGAGAAACGCAGACAAATGACAGAGAACAAAAGCGGGCAGAGAGAGCAAGAATGTCCTCTTACAAGGAAAGATGGGTTCGGGAGAAGAATCGAAAAAGAATGCAAAAGAGAAGAGAGAAGGAAAAGAACAGAAAGAAAAAAGTCAAAACCCCATCACCAGCATCAACCTCGGAGCAGGCTGCATACATGACAGTTTTCGAATGCTTGCAACAGACCCAGCAAGACAAAGAGCACAAGCACCGCAAGAACACAAGAAAATTCTTCCTGTGGAAGTTTGCATCAAAAACATCCAAACGATACAGAATTAGACATCAGCAAGAACATGGGTATCAGGTATAAAACACTGCTGAAGTATTCTTCACTCCGGAACATGCGTACATGCATGAGTGGCTGGACCAGGTGCCCCCTTGTCGGCTGATGTACATGTAGGAGACAACAGTCGAGCTGTCTGAACGAACCCGAACAATTTTTCACGCAGTCTCCCTTTGGAAATAGATCAGAGCTTTTTCCACAGCCAGTAGTTCCAGGACATTGATATGGAGAGCATGTTCTACTGGAGACCAAGTAAGGGCGAGTGAATCCTCTCCTATCTGTTCTCCCCAGCTGTCATTTGACGCACAGAGACACCAGCATAGCTTACAATTCTTGAAACCCTCGGAGCAATAGCGCTTGCGTGGGACTCCGTTTCCCGTGACGACGGTGATGAGAATCAGTGGAACGGCCAACCGAGGAATTTCCGGAAGAATTTGAGCCGGAACTCGAGCTGGAGCAGTGGTGTCTACGCTTATGATGGCAATGGGGCCTTCGTCCCGAAAAGTAAGAATCACGCCGACTTCGGCCAAAATCGGGAACCCGCATATACATGTATGTATCTGGGATGAAAGGATCCGGGTCTTCTGGATCTGGTGCCTCGGACCTGCCCGGACACCCGGGTGCGTCGGCCGAATCCACCGGGGGCCCGGCTATTTATACGGCTGCCGGACTTACATGTACATGTATCGGGCTTGCCAGCTTTGGGCGTTTTCTCCCTGGGCCCGCCGATGAGCTGGCTCGGTGCACTCGGAATATCAGTCGGGGCTTTTTCGGCCCAGGTACCCGTGGACATCGACAGAGGCCCGACAGGCATGTCGTCGAGCACCGTGTTATCGGCCCCGCGACCTGAGAACAGCAGCCGAGTTGGCATGTCTCCGGGCCCCGTATTGCCGGCCGAATATTTCTCGGCACTATAAGCCCCGAGGAGAGAGGCCTAGCAGGCGTGTCTTTCGGGGCCGATTTGACAGATTTACTTGCCCGTTTAGTCTTAGTAGTAGTTGGAGGCCTACCAGGCACAGCTCTACCTCTACTCTTGGTGGCAGTGCTGGACAGCGGCCTATCAGGCGAGCCTAGTAGGGAAGACTTTTGTCGGCCAAATGGCTCCGAAGAACTGCTCTGTACCAAGTTACCACTGGGGGAATGACTGCGTAGCCACGCTGAGACTCCACGCTGAGACTCCATTCCAATCATCGGAAGCCCATCCTCCGCATACCTTGCACGGGTGGGCCCGAGAACAAACCCTACACTTGGGGCATAAATCATGCGCATCCCATCTAGATCGCAGTTTAATAATTCTACACATTGTGCAAGTAACAAAATTAGGCGGGTTGAGACCACGTCTAGCGCTACTTACGTCCACCGTCTTGAAAAATACACGAAAATGAGAAACGTTTGCAAAAACTTAACTCGGAACACTGAATCAAATAACAAGAAAATCTGAGTAACGCTGTAACAAACTAACAAGAACTCGGTAGTAAACCAACAAAAGTTTAAAGAAGAATAAACACTTCTAGAGCTAGCGAAAATCGTAGAGAGCTTCAATAGAATACAACTACACCTGATCGGCGTTAGAAGAAAAGAGGACGATATGCCGCTTGGCATCATGGGTATCGGGTATTGGCCAAGAGGGCGCTGTGGTAGATGTAAAATTTAGCGGATATAGCATATTGCCTATGTACATCATAAGGAATAATGCATACATACATGTAGGAATTGGCAGGTAAGAGAGGGCCCGAAGTGGACCACACTTTCAACAGCTAAGGTGGCCAAGCTGATGATGCTTCTGGAGAAAAGAGACACTGATCAGGTGGCTGACTGGTATTGAAGTACATTGTTCACCATCATGCAGGTAGGATAGCAAATCTGGTGAGCCTTTGAAAGAGATTATTTTTCAATGAAGAGTTGCATGAAAATGCCATTACTGTATATCGCAAAATGGAACACATAGAATCATGTTAGTGTTCATGAAAGCTAATTCCAGATATGTATTCCCTTTAGTCTTTAGCCAACCACCTGATAAAGTGGCAGCTCTTCATGTGCAACTCATTCTTTTTTTTCCGTTTAATACACAGATTCAGATGAGTATGAAGTGGAGTGTTTGACTGAGAAAAAAAAAAGCAAAAAGGCAAAATTTACTACCGAGTGAAATGGAAGGCTTTCAACGAGAAGACATGGGAACCAGCAGGCAATGTATCGTACCAGCTGCGTAGCGACTTCAATAAGAAACAGAAGCCTTGTACATTGAATATTCAAGTCAGACCAACAGTATTCAAAAGTGGTGTGGAAATATATTTCACAAGGAAAAATTAATTTCACATATCTTTCGAAATTAAAAATTAAAACATTAAAGATCTTTTATTTAAAAAAAAGGAAAAGAAATTTATACAGTAGGCCTACACTTTGAATGCTATACTGTGTAAAGCTTTATTAAAGCTCAGTGTATGCAATACCAAAAGCAAAAATGTCATCAAGATTGCTAATCCAGAAATCTTTCCAAGAATTTGTCAGTGTTTTCCTATTTTAATGGCACACATGGTAGGTACATGTAAAACAAAGATAATATTACCTGATCGATCCAAGGAAAAGATTCATGCCTGAATCCGTACAGAGAAGTCAAGCTATTAGCAACTAAACATTAATTTGAAGATCAAGTGATAAAGGGGGGGGGGGGGTGCCCCAAGACAATGTATTGTCAGTAATACTTTGCCTTCTCTCATTTCAATTTTTGAACCATTTTCCCAATTTATATCGAATTCCTAACTGGAGCTGCCAATATTTTTCCTTGATAAATGGAGAACTTATCCATGCTGACAAAAAAAATTCACTGTGTTGCATTACGCTGACATAATTATTCCTCAACAAGTCTTTCACTTCTAGCGATTGCTCATTGACACAAATTCACCACACTTCAGTAAATATTAGTCAGTCTAAGTCCAAAAAGCAAAAAGGAATTTTTTTTTTATAAAGTCTTGTGGTTCTTTGTGATGTCCAGAAGTGGAATTGGGGGGGGGGGGGTGTTCAACCCCCCAAGAAAAATGACAATTGCCTTTACCAACTTGTGACACTGCTGACACCAAGATTTCAATAGTACATTGTACCTAGCTCCCCCTGGCTACAGGCATGACAGGGATACAATGAGGTATCGGTGCTTGTCAGATGCAGCATACCGGTCAGTGGGCCTTCGCATATAACCATAAGCCAAACACAGGAATAAAGTGGCGGCTCTTCATGTACAACTCATGTTTTTTTTTTTTAATACTAGATTCAGTTGCAAAAACAGGCAAAATTTACTACCAAGTGAAATGGAAGGGTTTCAATGAGCAGACATGGGAACCAGCAGGCAATGTATCGTACCAGCTGCGTAGCGACTTCAATAAGAAATAGAAGCCTTGTGCCGGTACATTGAAAATTCAAGTCAGACCAGCAGTACTCAGCAGTAAATATATTTAAATACGGTCATCAGTGATGATGACTTTACCTGTATGTAGAATCAAGCAACTGACTTGCAGGAGATTGTGTCGCTTAAGCGACGAGTAAGAGAGTTGGAGAGCCAACTGCGTGACAAAGAACAAATTATTACGCAGCTGAAGTCGGATCAAGTGACTGCTCATTCTGGGCATCCCTTCAGCATTGGTAAGATTTCCAAGTTTCTAATTTTGTTGTGCTTGTATAACCAACAGTTGGTCATACATACGAATGAACATAAATAAAGTGAAATTGCACATTCTTAATTGTGGACACGGTTGTATGCCACAGCCCAAGGTAATCGATCACGTTTTCTATCATTTGTTATTTCTTCAATGCTACGTATAAAGAAAATATACGGAAATTAATTAAAGTTTTACATTTACAATCAGTTATTGTCTTATGTATTTGTTGTGCAGACATCACTCCTAAGAAAATAAGACTTATGAAGGAGTTGACCAGTATGGTTGAAGGTACAGCAGCACCACCGCCACCCCCACCATCACCACTGCCACAGACATCACCGCCAAAGACATCACCGCCGCCACAACAAACAGCACCGCCGTCCACAAGGACATCACCGCCGCCACCACCACAGACGGTGCCGCCGCCACCAGCACCACGGACTGCTTCAGCAACCCCAGTGGTAGCTGCACAGCCACCACCAGTGTCTACCAGCCCAAGTTTTCCTGCCTTGTCCAATACGGTATTACCCTTTGTAAAGTCTTTTTTATGCTGATTGAAAATTAATTTGATTTTATAAAGAATACATACATGTAAGGCTTTCCTATCAGCATCATAGACAGAAATTGTTGGAAATTGTCACCTTATACATTTACACACCCAACAACATATCACCAAATTAAATCTTGCCAAAGTCATAATTTCAATGTAAAGTGTAGCTAGTATAATACATTTTACAAAATATTCTGTGGTTTACATATCCACACAATGTACTACTAAATCACATTTATAAGATTTCATTGGATTGGACCCACATTGGAAATTTAAAAGCTACATGATGATATAGTGAGTAAAAAATAATTTAAAAAAATGAACACATAGCAATATGTTTTAACAATGTATGCATACTAATCATCATGTTCCCAAGTTGATGTTTTTGAGTTTTACCCACAGCTTTCACCACTCTACACTGGAGGGATTCCGGTGATAACCGAGAGGGCCAAGAGGCTAGCATTCAACAAGGGCAAGTGCAAGGAGAGTTTGCTGTACAGCCTATTGGTCGGCGTCTTTGGAGAAGAACGGCTTGCCCGAGGAAATGCCTGTGGGTCTCGGCAAGCTGTCAACCGCAAGGACACTGAAGAGTAACCAACCGCTGGACCCAGAGAAACTTCACGAAATAAAGGTACTTCATAATTTTTTTTTTAATTCCCCCACCCCCCCCCCAAAAAAATCTTGTCCAATAAAATAATAAACATTGTTTCTCATGTATGTAACTCATTTAAAAGCAATATCATCTTTAATTACATCTTTTTAATGGGAGCCCTTTTTAAAGGCCAGTTATAATACGTACATGTGAACCCCATTTTTTTTAAGCTGTACTAACACACACATGTACAACTAAAGTATTTAAAATAAAAGAGCTACTTCAAGTTTCATGCTAAGTGAAAGTTTTAAAATGAGGCATCACAAAAACAAGATACGAAAAGAAATCCGAAATGGCTTTTATGAAATGGTTCGATCTTTTATCGTTCATTTTATACAGCCTTGTTGAAGAAATATGGGTGATATTCCTGACTACCAATACGCGGTGCCTCACTTCATTTTAAATCGATCCCTATCTTGACATAATGAAGGCGGTATTTTTGATGCACACCCCTCACACCCCTGAAGTCGAACACCCAAGAAATGTGATGAGGTGGTCCTATTTTGGCCCAAAATCTCCAAATGAAAATTCCCGACAAACGACTCATGTAGCCTGATAGCATCACATTTATTGTTACATGTATTGAAGTTTGTGTATCATGACATGGCTTTTCTTTTCTTCATTTTTCGTTTTGTTTTCAGAGTGTGTTCTACAACGGTTCAGACTACCAACAGGCCAGCCATGTTTGTCTCCTAAGGAGTTCAACGAGAAGATCAATCAAAAGTGCGCTACTGTCAGACGGGCATTGAAGAAAAGAAATAAGTAGTGATTAAACTGTATGCTATGAAGCCCAGCAAGGGACAGGGTAGAATTATTTTTCGTAATTTGCTAATTCGTTCCCACGAATTACCAACTCGTTCCCGGATGCACGAGTAAGCAATTCGTGCGAATGAAATAGCAATCCGTGCGAACGCAATAGCGATTCGTGGGAACGAATTAGGAATTTGTGCGAATGAATTAGGAATTTGTGCGAACGAATTATCAAATTCCAAAAAAAAAATCCACCCTGTCCATTCTCGGGCTTCATAGTATGGCGTCATAGTAAACATCTATAAATTAAACAACATGTTTGAGTTTAACTTCTCAAATTCAAGAAGTTTGTTAATTCCCTGTAGCATTTGATTCTGTGTTCTAATAGTTTTTAGTTCTATATTTGCATTATTCCATTACTCCATTTTATGTTTCTTGTATTTTCCACTAACTTATTTTTTGCATCACAAATAACATTATGTCTTATTTTCTCATTTTAATAATTTTGATTCAGAAAAATGCAAAAGTATAATTTGTGTCATATCGGTACATGGGATAAATTTCGATGACTGGGTTGAGTTAAGACATTTTTGCACTGATAAACCAGCAGACTTATATTGATTTTTTTTTATATTGATCGATTTTTTTTTTTATTTTTTATTTTTTTAAATGCCGTCAAATTTCCATTAGAAATCCAAAGAAAACATTACCATTTGTTGTTTTTATTTTGTAGAATTTTCCTCTCATACATAGAAGTTATATTTCTGGAATATATATAACAAACTTTAGTTTTTACTTTTAGGAAAGGTTATTGTTGTTTTTGTTATTATAGTTAGTAAAGTAACACTTCAAAAGCAGTTATTAAAGCTTTATGTTCAGCTCATACATGTTATTAAGTGTCACAAATATGTACTGCCCATTAACTGCAACCTAATTGTCCGCAAGCTTACTGCAACTTTCAGCAAGCTTGTCTGCAAGCTCGCTGCAATCTAGTCTACACGCTTGCTGCAATCTAGTCTGCAAGCTTGTCATTGCTGCATTAGCCTGCAAGCTTGTCATTACTGCATTCTAGCCTGCAAGCTTGCCGCAATCTAGTCTGCAAGCTTGCAGTGCCTCATTTGCATTTTTGGAACCCTGCAAGGTTGCTGCAATCTAGTCTGCAAGCTTGCCGCAATCTCGTCCGCAAGCTTGCTGCAGTCTAGTCTGCAAGCTTGCCGCAATCTCGTCCGCAAGCTTGCTGCAGTCTAGTCTGCAAGCTTGCAGTTGTCTAGTCTGCAAGCTTGCAGTGCCTCATTTGCATTTTTGGAACCTCGCAAGCTTGCCTGCAAGCTTGCCGGCAAGCTTGCAGGCAAGCTTCATGAAATTTCTGTAAGGGAAAAATGACTTTGAGTGATTACAGCAAGTGTGCCAGTGGCACAACATGTGTTGTTGATGGGGCCTTATCAGCACTTGAGAAGGCATTGTGTAAAGCGCTCTGGAGAGTTGAGATTGTTGGAAAGCGTTTGCGTACCGTTGTAGTGCTGCATGTTCACTGCCAAGATTAAGACAGCCCTTGACACACTGATGAACCGAAGACATGAAGCAGGAATAGATGACAGCAATGCGTACCTGTTCAGTAATCAGCGAGGACTGGGACACATAAGGGGAACTGACACACTTCGAGAACATGCTTCAAAGTGCAAAGCTAAGAATCCTGAGTTCCTTCGTGCAACGAGACTTCGCAAACACATTGCTACAGTATCACAAGTAATGAATCTTCAGGAAAACGAGCTCGACCTGCTGGCGAGCTTCTTAGGTCATGATGTCAGAACCCATCGTGAGTTCTACCGCATGCCAGAGTCAACACTTCAAGTTGCCAAACTGTCAAAGGTCCTTCTCAAGATGGACAAAGGTGATGTGCAGGGACTAGCTGGAAAAAGACTGAAGGATGTTGAACTGGACCCTAGTGAAGATATGATTTTTATATCATTACATGTACTAAAAAATTACAAGAGTTGATTCCATCCACTAGCAGGTATGACATTCTTCCAACTTAAGTTATATGTCAAATTTTTGCTGAGAGAAAACAGTTCTGATGGTGGAAACAAAATAAAAATTATAAATGTGTGTAAAATTAAAAAACACAAATTTATTTTTATTGTAATAATTTTTTGTTAGTACATGTGTATTTGTATTCAAATCAGAAAAAATTAAAATAAATAAAAAAGAGGGCCCACACCATGGAAAGTCATACCAATTAGTTAGTACTTTGAACACCATAACATTTTTCAATTTTTCTATTAACAATGCTGTTTTATTACTAATTGAAATGTTTGCAGCTTTCAGTGTTTAGTTATTACTTTGAACACCATAACATTTTCAATTTGTTTTATACCATGCCTGCTTTAACTGAACACAAACCAAGCTGGATTGCACCTCAAACTTACCTCTAAAAATGTGTGTGTATAGATTTTAATGTTTGAATTACAATGTATGTTTAAATGATTAAATTACAAAATTGGTCAGCAAAAAAATGAATGAAATATAAAGGAAACACAATAAAGGAAATTGTATGGAATGTGAAGGTTATCAAGACCGAGGTACAATATATACATGTTATTATACATACATATTTAAGGTTTTTTGTTTATGTGTTTGTTTTTCTTAGAATACGATACAGATGCGATGTCGGAATCGTCAGGTGATGAGAGAGATGATGAGCCTGAGGAACCCATGAGTCTGAATGAGGAAGCAAAAGGTTCGTACATTGGAATTTAGAATAAATCGGAAAGAGTTTCTCACTAGTTGGAGCCGCCATAATGTATGACACTTTTACAGCCGCTTTGCAAAACCTGTATTTAACAAGCTGTCAAGTATGGGACACTAAATATTGAAGACGGCATAATGTAGTCAAGTAATGTAGTATTTGACCACACCAAAGTCATTGGTACAACCAACAAGTACCTGAGACATGGTTTGTCAGTGCAGCAAATGTCTTATGCAAACATCTTGATGGGTGATGGTAGAGAAAGAAAAAACTTTTAAAAACTTTTTTCAACTTCATTACAGATGCAGATGGGACAAAGCTTGTTGTACAGCAGCAAACAAAGAGGCCATGGACTTGTGCTGAAAAAAAGCAGTTGTGAAACATCTGGGCATGTTCCTGAGGATGCGGAAGGTACCCGGGAAGGGACCCATCACTGCAATGATGAATGCCGAACCCCAGCTGTTCAAGAATCGTACTTGGAGAAACGTAAAAGACTTTGTGAGGAACCAGGTCCGAAAACAAGATCCAATGAGCTTTCTGTAGATCCGGTAAAATAAGAAAAATACAAAGACTTAAAGACAGAAGGCCCTTTGTTCTAAAATTGCACAGATTTGTCAACAAGAGATTACACATTTTCTTTGCATGTAATTTTTTTTAAGCAAACAAAAGTTGTAAAAGATTTATTTATTTGTTTATTTTAACAAAAGTAGTGATCATATAGAAGTTGAAAGGAAGTTAACATCAATTTCTGTCGTCTTCTTCGGACCTGGTTCCTCACATCAATTTCTGACATCTACAGAAAAAGTACAAAAGAAGAATGTTTTGACATGTAAAGCTTACATGTTCGTTAGCATTAACACGCGTACTAGTCTTTCCAATGCCATTCTGCACAATTTTGCCACACATGCCAGTCATACGCACACGCATGTCCGACTTGATTGCGCAATCATGGCTGTGATTTGTCAAATGGAGTGAACGCGCAAAGTTTGATTGATAGGCCGGATCGGTCCATTATAGCGACTTGCTTGCCATTAAGTGTAAAAAAGCTGTTTGCAACATAAAAATCACCACTGTCACTAGTTCATGTGACAGGTGCACTGGTGAAGTCGTTGTGACCTTAGATGATCACCGCACTACGGCTGGGAAGTTTTCCTTCATGGTCTTGAAAGGGAAAAATAGAGTAAGAATCGTCAAAGTTGATGAGATGGGCAATCCCATAGTGTTTTTCACAATCCTGGCCAATTTTCGTGGGTGCTTAATATTTGTGGCGTCACTTGTAATAGTGATCACCCGTTGTGCAAGGATGTCCCTGAGTTCCTGAGTCCCGAAGACACCTTCATCATGTTCAGCAAGCTTGATGGGATGCATGCATGTCTGGGAAATCCTGACTTCCCTGAACTGGTGGCATCGAAGTGTGGCTCAGAAGGTCAAGTTCCAACAAAGATCACTAACAATGATGTCGTTGTGGACGGGACAGTTAAGTGCGGCACAAGAAATGTCTCCTTTTGGTGCAATCAAGTGGAACAAGATGTGACTACTGTAAAGTACACAAAGGTGATCTCTCATCTGCTACAAGCCAGTTAATAGGGAAGCAACAACGCAGCGGATCAGAGGTGGTAGATCTCCAGAGTGATAGAAGGAATTTGCTGCGAAGAAATGCTGCACTGGAAACCAAAATATCATCCATGATGGAAGCAGAAATTATTCACCTTTATACTCCTCTACAGGAGAAGGGAATGGAGGAGGCATTTGCTAACTTAGATGAGACCCTCACCAATGACATTTTCGGACAGAATACCACAGCGAGGCTTCTTTGGGATCAAAAGAAGAGTGCTGTTGCTAAGGGAAAACAAATGCCCTGGCACCCTGCTGTTGCAGGTGGTGCATTGCAAAGCATTCAAGGTCAGCGTCCGCTTACAACTTCCTCCTCTTAATGCCCGCCTTTGGCCCAGTGTTGTCATTGTGATGATGGGAAGAGGCCTATTCTGACAAAGTATCTTTGTTTTGGGGTAGTCACAAAAGAAAGGCAAGTCACCTTTTCACGCATGCTAGAACTTGAACCGAATGATGTCAAATGTGACCCGCTATCCCAAAACCAGGCGGAAGTCGGCAAATGCCTTTTCAAGTTAAGGTACTTACATTTTGTACAACGAAAAAATGCATGCATGGTCGAAAAAAAAAATTCATTCATAAATCGGTAGCTACTCTTATATTCTATCGGTTGTCAAAATTTAAGCCTTATAAATTTCTCTAAAGTCACATTTTGGGCACTTTTTGGGTCAAGATGCCAATCAAGTATCCTTGCCTCTTCTGTAAGAAGTCTGTTCGTGCGAACCAGCATGCTTTCCAGTGTGAGCGCTGCCAGGGATGGCAGCATGTTGGCTGCAACTCTGGTTTTAGTCACCAGCAGTACCTGGAGATCCGTGACGATCCATCCAGGCTGGACGTTTGGATCTGTGCACCCTGTACAAGTCAAGACCAAGAACAGGAGGAAGACCCGATGGACATCGAGGAGAACAGAGATGTCCCTACCGATGACGGTGGTTTCAACGTCGAGACGGACTTTGTTGTACCACTTGAAGTAGCCGAGAACCCCCTCCCTGATGCTGCCCTACCTGCTGTAATCCCTGGCCTAGGTGATGAGGACATCACTTCCTAAAAGACGGTGGAGTCCGGCACGAAACGGGGTAAAGTCATCTTGGTTGATAGTCACGGCTACACCTACACGAAGAAGTAATAATAATAATAATAATAAACCATTCTTATAAAGCGCATTTTACACGGGGTCCCAATGCGCTGAACAATTAACAGAGGAAAACACTAACATTATATTTCATTTGCAGTGAACAGATGGGTTTTAAGATTAGCTTTGAAAACGTCCAGGGTTGGGGCTTCCTTGATGTGATTGGGTAGTTTGTTCCAGAGGGTTGGGGCTGCAGATGAAAACGCTCGCTGACCGTATGACCTTGTCGATGTTGAGGAGCAGGCGAGCAGGGATTGTGAGCTTGATCGAAGATTTCTACGGGGTTCATATTTATGGATTAATTGCTGGAGGTAAGTAGGGGCGAGACGATGGAGACATTGGTATGTTAGGAGAAGGGTTTTGTAGATTATCCTCCTCTTGACTGGGAGCCAGTGCAGATTACGGAGAATAGGTGATATGGGTTGATGGGGCTTCGAGAGGGTGACTAGTCTTGCAGCTGAGTTTTGGATGCGTTGGAGTTTGGCGATTTGTGAGTCTGGTAGCCCTTGAAGTAAACTGTTGCAAAAATCTAGGCGACAAGTAATAAATGCATGAGCAAGCTTTTCTGTGGTGTGCGGGTCGAGGAATTTGCGGATCTGTCCGATTTTATGAAGGGCAAATGATGCAGACCGACAGATGCTATTGATGTGCGTGTCCATTTGTAGATTAGGTTGCATTGTAACACCTAGGTTTCGTACCTTAGAAACGGGCTGGAGGGAAGAGTTGCCGATATGAATAGGGGGGAGTTGAGTATGGCTTCTATGGCAGGATGTTATATGAAGGACCTCCGTTTTGTCTGCATTTAATTTCAGTTTATTTGATGTGGACCATGATTTGATGTCGTTAAGGCAGAGTTCTAACTGGGGAATGGCTGTAGGTCGATCCCGCTCTTTCAAAGTGATGTAAACTTGAGTGTCGTCAGCATAGATCATTTTTCCGACACCGTGGGCCTCGATTATGTCCTCAAGGGGGGATGTGTACATTATGAAACACAAGGGTCCCAGCACAGATCCTTGAGGGACACCGACTTCAGGGACATAAGCGTCAGATAGGTCATCATTTATTGAAATGTGCTGAGTACGGTGTTTGAAGTAAGATTCGAACCAATTGATAGCATGGCCGGATATGCCATACCTGTGACAAAGACGATGAAGCATGATCTCGTGGTTGATGGTGTCAAAGGCTGCGGAGTAGTCCAGTAGGACAAGAACCGCCTCTTGGCCCTTGTCAGCAGCTAGTAACAAGTCGTTGTTCACTCGGAGAAGAGCCGTCTCCACACTATGACGACGCTTGTATGCAGACTGCATGTTGCTGTGAAGACTGTTCTCGAGAAGATAATCTTGGACCTGAGACGAAGCTGCGCGTTCAGTTATCTTAGCGAGAAATTTCAAATTTCAGAAGGGGCACTGTGGTTTTACCTGTAGGTTTGAGCGACAGCAACTCATCATGGCTGTAGGAGTTTGTTGTAGTGGCAACCATGACTACTGCTGACAATAGGATAAGCACAATGGCCAACAATGCCGATCCAGCCATGCGTCAATCAATTTCTGAAGCACAATGACGAGCCAAAACACACTGCTGAATGCTATAGGCGTACGTAGTCCTTGTACAGTAGGCCTACTTGTACTCGGAGTAATGAGCAGAATCTGTTGAAAATTCCAGGTTTTTGGCGATCAGGTAACTTGGATTTCCGATCCAGGAGCTAGGAGGATCCTTACGTCTGTGTGATCCGACTGTGTGGTTTTTGAAGTTGATGTCGGTGATCAAAAGGCAAAAACCGAGACAATTTTGCCAGGATATGAGCATGTAGGTGCAACCGGAAGCGCTACCAGTGCAACCGGAAGCGCTACCAGTGGAACCAGCCGGTTCCACTTCTTCCAAAGTCACATGGCTGTGTAGTGTCCGGGGCAAGTTGCAGCGGTGTGCCGTGTCTGTTCACCAAGATGGCAACCTTTTTCATGCTGGACTTCACACCAAGCATACGCACCCAGCGCATCCCGGGGCAGACGTCGCAGTTCAAGTGAAGGCGTTGGTGATGTCCAAGGCCAAGGCTGACATCTTCAAAACAGCAGGGGCCATTGTCGAGGATGTCATCACCCCACTGACGCACCCGCTGCAAGTTGTCCTAATCCAACCAACCTGTCCCGGGCTGTAAACCGTCACCGCCAGAGCCAGTGCCCTCCCGAGCCACGAGACATTGACTTTATAATTGACCAAGGCTTCATCCCTGAACACTTCCTCCAGAAAGACATTCACCTTGGTTGTGCTTGCCATGTTGTGTTTTTTAAACCAGATCAACTCCATGTGCTGGATGGCGCCAAGACCTGGTACTTGGATGGAACTTTCAAGTTGGTGAAACGTCCGTTCACCCAACTGTTCTCAGTTCACGCCTTCGTCAAGGGAGACACCGGTGGGATGAAGCAGGTTCCGCTGACCTTTGTCTTGATAACTCGGCGGACAAAGAAAGACTATAAGAAGGTGCTCAAGGCCCTGCGGAGAAAGCTGCCGTCCCGTGCTGCAAATCTTCAAGAGCTGGTGGTGGACTTCAAAGTTGGACTGTGGGGTGCCATCCGAGCTGTCTTTCCGGATGCTTCCGTGAATTGCCGCCTGTTCCATTGGACACAGGCAGTCTGGAGAAAGTGTCAGGCACTCGATTTGGCAGTACCCTACATGTCCAACGACGGAGTTCGGGATTTCATCGGCCAGCTGTTGTCACTCCCGTTCTTGCCTAATGAACATATCGGGCCAGCTTTTAAAGAACTCAGCAGCCTGGTGACTGATCAACCTGCCATGGTTGAGCTGTGCAGCTACCCTCGCACCACGTGGCTGGAGAACTCAACATGGAGCCCACGTGACTGGTCAGTGTTCATGCGGAGTACCCGCACGAACAGGACGTCACACCGTCTAATTCTACAACGTCATCAAGCTCCTGTACGTAGAATCCAGCTACGTAAACGTCCAGCTAAGGCTGGTCAAAGAAGCTTGACTCTGCAGGAACCAGCGGCGGATGTACATGTACCAGCAGGTTCAAGGGAAGATTTTCAAGTTGTGGGACGACTACCAAGCCCGTCGCCTCACAACATCGGGACTCCTGGCAGCCTGCAAGTACCTGACAGGTCCAGCCCTGTAGGTCAACAACAAAACAACCGGTCCTTTCAGACCAACATATCTACAAAAGAGATTGTTGTCTTGAAGATTTGCATCAAAGGCAGAATAAAAATGGAAATAAATGATTAATAAAAAATTACATTTATTTCGTTTTCTCCACAGGTTAGAAAAAGAGCCTAATTTTTTATGCAATTGGAAATTGTTTTTTTTTATTACTGCCAAAACAATGCCAAACTGAACACATTGATAAACATTAAAAATTTCATAACTAGTGAATTGCATTTTATTACTCACAACAGTTTGTGAATTGAAATCAAAACTTGATAATTATAGAAGGGCGAAAACATTAACACCAGGGTAGATTGAAACATTGAAAATTTTAAAAACAATTGAATTGCATTTTATGACTTACAATAGTTTTTAATTAAAGTCAAAACTTGATAATTATAGAAGACGGAAGACGTTTACGTAAATTCAACATGAAATTTAATAACAAAAAGTACAATTTCGAAAAAAAAAGCAACCAAAGAAAATCACGCTACAATATAGAAGACAAACATCGTCGATCATAACCTAAGGTCAAAAACCCACAAACCGCAGGGTAGATAAAATCCAAGCTCCAAGAAGAACAAAAAACATGCAGTGGCAGGTTAAAAAAATCAGACAAAACAAACCGCAGCGCCGTCAACACAAGTCCCGTGAACCACCAAGAGTGATTGACAGTAGCATTGTTGTTCAATAGAAAAGGATTTGGAACCCTTTGTCATGTGTGCAATGAATCCTGGGTGCGAAACGACCTGGGTACGAAACGACCTGGGTACGAAACGACCTGGGTATACGAAACGACTTGGGTATGAAACGACTGACATTCGTTGTGGCCTATTGGTCTATGGGTGAGACATATGACAATGCAACTGATTATGATATGTCCCCCTTTGCATTGGCAGCTGACTTAATTGCTGGTGACTTAACGATGTGAACATGAATGTGTTGGTACTTCATCCACAGTTTTAGTTCTTGATCAATGAGACTGACAATTCTGGCATGGGCGAGTGGAAAATGTTGTCGTCTGTGTGGAATTAGTGGACTTGGATAGACACTTTTCAAAGAAATTGTATGGATGGTAGGACATTTCTGTTGGTCTAGACAGTGAACCTGAGATGAAAGTTTTGCTGTTTAGGTAAGATACACTCTTATAGATGTTGTTTACTAATCTTATGTATCTTTCCAGGGACAAAATGAGACGAGAGTGACGCTCCAGACAGGACTCCAAATAATTGATGAAAGCTCCTATATTAATATGTTATAAATTTCATTTTAGGCCAAGAAGACGATTAAAATCAGCATATTATTCTTTCATTTTTTTTTTCACCCTAACAAGATACACATTGCCTGCAAGTTTCATTGAGATATCTTGATTAACGAAGGAACCACAAGCGTTTTTATTCAAAAAAGTCGCGTTTTCGGTCACAAAATTCTATTCAATTACCTTTAAGATAAATGACGCTAATTAACGAGCTTCAAATGCTTGTTATTTCCTTATCAATTAAGATATCTCAATAATTTTGGTATCACTGTGTAGGATTTTTCAAGCTCTTTCCAGTGGTACTAATAATATTGGTATTGGTTCACTTTGAATTTGTTCTTCACATACCTAGCTTCGTTTGAGCATTTCACAATTTGGTGTAGTCTTTTATCCTTTTTGGATGGTTTTCAATCATGGATTCCGAGTCTGATTGTCGAGATTGCGAAGACAGGATCGCAAGACTTGTTAATGATGCCGCACCGTGTGGGTTGAAAGACTCTGGTATGCTCAAAGTTATTGAAGACTATTTCCAAGATCTTGGTGAACGAGACTTGTCTGATTCCAACGATAGTGATGGGGATGAACTTGACTCAAGCAGTGAAGATAAACTACCCATCAATCACGGAGCTATGGTAAGTGTTTTGTTTAAGTTGGGAAAAGTATGTTGTTTGTAAAAAAATTGCACATAACATAGGATCAAAATCCAAAAATGTAAAAATACTGTTGTTAATTTCACCTTGCGTTTATGATTGACACTAACGTTATTTATTACGTTAGGGCCTATAGACACTAACGTTACAGTTAGACTAACGTGAGAAACAGAACTGTCAAACATGGCATGTCAAAACATTAAGTAAAAGTTTGACACTTAAACGTTAACCCTAACCCTGCCAGACGCATCACAGTGCATCAGGTGGAAAAGTCTGGTGCACTTTGATTGAAAATGATACCAACACCAGTACATGAACGACCACTTCTGAGACACCGAGAGCTAGTCCCATAGAACAAAGCCAGAGTTGTATCCTGCTGCATTCGGTGACCACAGACTCTGAGGCAGTTTGGCCTTGAGACTTTTGGCCTGATGGATCTTGCTACACTGGGCAGGCTTGTCATTTTGACAAGTGTTGCATGTTGCTGTGTTTGGCAGGGTTTCTAGCCAAAATACCCTGGAGGGTTAGGGTTAATTAATGTTAGGCCTAACCGATAAAAATATAAGATGGGATGGAGTGCAGTATATGACCGCCACCTTTTCACTCTTTAAATTTAAGTAAATCATTTTAGCCAACGCATATTTATCGTTAATCGCAAACTGCGGTGTGAGTACATGTACCCTGGACTCCCCTGGATTTATTTTGCAGATTTCCGTGACACAATCAGTCTTTAAATGCTGAGGTAAGTCCGTATTGGTTAATAAGAGTGAATAGAAAAGTGCCGGTCTTTAATATTAACCCTAACCCCCTAAGAGTTCATTTTGGAGTACAGTACCACATACTACAAAGTACTACAAAATTTAAGTATGCAGGTACCCAAATACTAGAAAATACTACGAGTGCTGTGCTCACTTATATGCTAAAGTACTGCATACTACAGTTTACTACTACATGTAGTAGTATTTTGTAGCGTTAGGTGCGGTTAGGGTTAAAACTGCACTCCTTCAAATAATTTTGTTATAAAGATGTTTCAGTTTTTTAAGTTTCATGTTTTTGGCATGGAACATTAATTTATGATTTCCATTTGTTTTTGTACGTAGCTTGATAATAATAGTGACCTCGAGCAAGAGGATGATGACGGTGATGATGGCCTCCTTGGCCCTGCTGAACCAGCACTTAGTCCCGGGCCTGCTGGAGGTGCAACACATGATGCTGAGAACGTGGCCATGAACATTGCCACGTGTAAACTTTATGAAGGCGGCCGATGTATTCAGCAGTTTAACGAAGAAGAGATAGAGAGCATCAGGTAACACAGATTATCATAACACATGCAACATCAGTCGGCCTAAAAAAAATGTTAATAAAAAAAGGGACATTTACAATAACCTAAGATTTCACGAATGTCAACAATCTTAGTTAAGAAAGCATACAAGGGCCCTGCCCCCCCCCCCCCTTGGTTTGTTTGCTCGTAAATTGTGTGGGCCCTTAGTTTGTTGTTAATAGTGCACTGACAAGGTTTCTGTTCCAAAAACACATGCCACTTCTTTGTAATCTTTGTGTTAACAATTCAAAACAACCCCTGCCATGATAAAATGCACCATGTTTTGGACTCTACAAAGTTGTTCAATTTCGAACACACGTTGCAGTGTGCAACATAATACCTAGCTTTGAATATACAACATCACATTGTGCATGTAATACATTGATGAGTTTAGAGTGCAGTGTGTTACATTTCCAAATAATTGTTTGTGCTCAATATATCTTCTTTTTTGGGGGTATTTTCAGGTTGAATGTACGTGAAATGACAAGCTTTGAAAAGGATCTTTTTCTGCTGGGAATTACCTCTGAATCAACACCTCTGAGGCCACGCAGAGACTCAAGAAAGTCAACCATGAGCACAAGCTGACTCGGATAACATGGTTCCACTATGAACATAAGAGGATATGTCGAGACTCCTTTTTGTTTCTGATAGGCATTTCAAAGGACAAGCTAACCAACCTGAAGAAGTGGTACCCTGTACCTCAAAAATGGAATCTACCCTCGCAAGAAAAGATCAGGTAATTTCACAACAACCTATAGATGAGGATTCCTGATTCGTGAAGCAGTATCCTTCTAATAAGCAACCAATATTTGCCTTTTATTGTCTTGTTTCCTGTAGGTGGCAAAATCTACAGAAATGTACCATTAAAAGTTACAAAGAGCTTTCTCCTTTCCATTGATGCTGGCGGTTACCGGTTTGATAACCCATTAAACTTAATTGTTAAGGCCTGTTAACTGAGTTAAGCTTATCGCGGAAATAGATTTAATATTCCATTTGAGAATGGGGCTGCGGTATATTATCATCACCACCATGGTCACATCAAAGTACCTATCCACCGACAAAACAATCAGCTCTCTCGGTCAGTAATGTATGATCTGCAAGACCCCATCATTATTGGCGGTATCAGAGCCATGGGCATCATAAACACTCACATAACTCGACCAATCATGCGGATGCTGGACACGGAACACATTTCTGCGATACAAACAAGTGCCCACTACACAGATCTTCATACGTCAATAAGTCAATGGATGGTGGATCCGCAGCCACTGTTGGACTATAGTGCTGTCATGCTCGCGGATTTTGTCCCTGTAAGAGACGAGGTACATCAAGCGCTGTATGAGCCTGTAGAAGAGGAGATAGAATTTAATACAAGACAAGCTCTATCAATTATTCTACACAATGTGTATGTATGCATTGTAAGACAACTGAAAGATCATCTGCCAGGTGGAAAATTCCACCAACCAGAAGATCGTATTCATCAGGAGACAAAGTCTTTTCCTAAGGATAATATCCCTGCTGAAAGGGTGTTTGCAGGGCTGGACTACATGTACTTGAAAAGGAAAAGTCCAAACATTTCAGCTATAATCTCCAAAGCTGCGAGAAATTGGAAAAAAATTCAAAAGCAGTATCAGGAAAAGGTACAGGGAATTAAAAATTCAAAGACGTAAGGAGGTAGATGAACGAAAGAAAGCGCAAGAGGAAAAAGAACGAAAGCTAGTTGCCTTGACTATTGACAATACTGA